TACAAAATTCGGGTTGTGGCACCATGAAATCCCCCCGCCCTTGTAAGTGCTAGTTGGAGAAGACAGTATGTATCCATCATTTTGTCTAGCTCCAGGACTGCTCTAGTGCTTGTCCTAGAAGAAAGCTGACTGACTGCTCAATAAAATAGTCACAACAAATTGAACAATATTCCATGTTTTTATTATGGTCACCTCTAATTGTCTATAATGTTTTATAGACATATATTTATATATTAAAGATCTAATTAATTTTCATGATTGCCTTGGGAAACAGGGCGGGGGTGGATTACAGCCTTCTCATTTTAAGAGGCAAGAATTAAACCTGCCTGGAATGACAGACCGATTGCTTAAAGGGCCAGGAGCTGGGTGGCGGTTTTGACAGGGACACCATACCCACCATCCTGGGCAGTACTCTGTATGCCATCTAGTCATCTGACCCTTGTTACTGAAGCGTCTTAGTCACTTTTCTCGTGCCATGACAGAACACCATGACCACGGACAGCTTAAAAAAGAAAAGCATTTAATTGGGGGCTTACAATGAAAGGGCTGGAGCCTACAAACGTAGTAGGAAGAGCATGGCAGCAAGCAGGCAGTCTTGGTGCCTGGGCAGTAGGTGAGAGCTTACTGAAGCGGGGAGGGGGGAAAGGGGGGCACCATTAACTGGAAATAGCATGAGCTTACCCCAGTGACATACTTTCTCTGCAAAGGTCACGCCTCCTAATTCTTCCCAAACAGTTTCATTGAGGCCCAGTTCAAATGTAAGAGCCCATGGGGGCCATTCTCTCATTCAAATTATGACACCAGTCAGTCATGAATGTCTAATTTGAAACTCCCCTTAAAATATACAAGTGAGGGCTGGAGACATGGCTAAGAGGTTAAGAGCACTGGGTGCTCTTCCTAAGGTCCTGAGTTCAATTCCCAGCAACCACATAGTGGCTCATAACCATCTATAATGTGATCTGATGCCCTCTTCTGGCATGCAGGTGTATATACAGATAGAATACTCATCTACATAAAATAAATAAATATTTTAAAAAATGTACACGTGAGACTGAAAAAGTTGCTAAATGAAAAAGGGATAACATAATAAAGGTACTTCCATTTACTTGCATTCATTCTTTTTATACTAAACTGCAGAACAGAGGAAAAAAAACAGAAAATAGTAAGTTATGGTTCAGCAAGTATTTATATTAAGGGCTATTTGGCACCAACTCATTTGCTAGGCATCCCAAAGATCAGAGATAATACACATCCATCATATGGCATTTAACATGTAGGAAAAGATGTTTTGTGCACAAGGAGAAATTGGGCTGCATTCTTCATCTACCCAAGTATGGCTAAAAAAAATTCCAGTTTTTGTTGACTAATAGAAGAAGCCAAACAATTCCTGGTGAAGCCAGGAATCTTAGGCAGGGGCATAGGAATGAATTCTGTGGGCAGATTATTCACAGGTCTGCTCCTTAGGGCAGATACTTGGAAGCAGCCTTGTCATGGACAGCATTGTCTTTACAGGCTGGCCAGACGTATTTAAAGGGCTGAGGAGGCTGTGAAGCCTCGCCATTGCTACCCGGGCTGTGTGGCTCTGGATTCTTCCACAGAGCCACATTTCCATGGCTACACTCCGAGGGACTCCCTGATCCCAGAGCGTGGTGTGAAGTTTGTCTGCCGTCTAGCAAGTGGTGGCTGCTACTTAGAGGTCAGGGATAAAACTGCCTTTTTTTTTTTAAACTTAGATTATTAGTCTTCAGAAAGGACCAACTTCGAAGTTGTCACTGTGGTGAGTGAACTGTATGTCCCAGTATTTGTTCTGGGTATTATGTTGGCATGATAGACTCTGACTTAGAGGTGATGAGTTTTTATTAGCTGTTCCAACAACATGGAAGCTAGTGCTTACACCTAAGAAACCTATTTTTTTTAATGACTGTTAGAATTCTTTTATTTATTAGAGAGATTGATTATTTATGTATATGATTCTTTGCCAGCCTGCCTGCATGCATGTGCACCTCTTGCATGCTTGGTGCTCTCTGCAGCCAGAAGAGGGCAACAGATGGCTTGCTGGGCGTTTCAGACGGTTGTCAGTGGCTATGTGGGTGCTGGGAACTGACTGGGTTCCTCTTCAAGAACAGCAAGTACTCCTAACTGCTCAGCTACATCTGCAGCCTGTTAAAAGTTCTTCACCATTCAGTGGACTAGGAAGGGAACATTTCATACACACACACACACACACACACACACACACACACACACACACACGTATGTACAACGAGTGACTTGAAGACCACAACTAAATTTAATTTAAAAGGCTGACAACTCTGTCTCTCGGGACCACACCATTCAAAATTTACTTCGAATGCCGTGGTCTCTTCAGAGCCCCCTCCTTTAATTAGAGCCATGTTATGTAGAATGCATTTGTGTGTGCTTTTTCCAAGAATAATTTTTAAAAACTGGAGTGAAATTTGGAGTATAAAATCCTTTCATAACTCGCTCTTTTCATGTTATCATCCTAAAATTTCACATAGAAAATTGTTTTTTTTATTATCTTTTTTCTACAAACATTTCGAAGTGGAAAAAGAAAAACCCTGTATTGACTGTGACACACCGGTAACTCTTTGTTCTGCAGACTTTAAGTAATCTCTGCAAGTGTGCGTAGGGGCAATTTTTAAAGTCTAATATTCCTTGACCTATCATACAACAGCGCTTGTTTTGACCTTGGTAACAGCAGGTGCAGGGTAGCTGTGCAAACGGCCAGCGGCTGTCCAGCGCATAGGGCACAAGACAGCGAATCTTCCTTTTACCTTTTCGGTGCAAACTGATGAAAATACCCAGTGGGGCTACTATGTTCTCAGCCACTCCCTTGTTCTTGGGTGACACTTACTGCTGCGTGTCAGTTGTCAAGTGCACCCTTTCTTAATTCCCTGAAGAGTGCGGAAGCGTAGTGTCCTAGGGTGAAGAAGAGGCCAGAGAAACAGACAAGATCTTAAGGGCCCGTGAGAATCGCATTTTGAATCTGATTTTTTTTCATCGTGTTTGGGGGACAGAGCATACTGTTTACAGTTTTACATGAAAACGGGCTTCTAGGGCTTAGGAAAAGCGGCCACTAGATTCACCTTGAGAGCGTGTGAACCAGATTTCGGGAAGGGCCCCACCAGTAGCGTTTCTGATTCCGTAGGTGTGGTCTGAATGTGCCGTTCTAATCAGCTCTTGATGAGATTACGGGCCCGGAGGTTTCAGGGGCCCCAAGTAGTGACTAACTCCATCACCATCCAAGCTGACCAGCAGCAGGGGAAAAGCGTGGAAGAGAGCGACAGCTGTCCCGACATCTTCCGCCACCTCCATCCTCCGCCGCCGGGAAAGGGTCAGCACAGGGAAGCAGCAGGAGGAGCGATGCCGGCGCCTTAAGAACGGGAACTCCTCTCCCCAACTTCCGCCCCTGGGGAAAAGCAGAAGCCGTCAGCTCCCGGGGAGCTGCCCTCCCGTTCTCAGCCTCGAGGTCCTGGCTCCGGGGATCGAGGGCGGGCGCAGCCGCACCCCTCGCGGTAGCCAGGCGGAGGCAGGTGAGGGCGGGGGCCCGGGCCTGGTGGGGGGGCGGCTGGGCTGAGTGTCCGCCGGACCCCGGGCCGCTCCCCGCCGGCGGCCGGGCAGGGCTGAAGATGGCTGCCCCGGAGCGCGGCGGACAGTCACGTGGCACGCTGGCACGGCCGTTCCCGGTTCCTCCTCCTCCCCGAGACCAGACCCTGCAGGTAGCGCGTCCAGGGCGACCCGTGCCCCGGAGGGACGAGCGTGCGGGCCCGGAAGGCCGGGCGCCACGGAGGGCCGCCGTCCCGGCCGCGCGATCGCCACCCGCCCGGGCGCGGGTCTCCTCGGCGCGAGCTGGAGCGGATCTGCGGGCGCCCCGCACCCGGAGCGGCCACTGGGCATGCGCGGTGCTCCGGCCCGGGTGCGGCGCGCTCCAGGTTTTCGCCGCAGCCCCGAGGCGGCGGGGGGGGGGGCCCGGCCGGGCCGGGGCGTCCCCCCCCCCCCCCCAGAACTCCCGGGCCTCCGAGCTGCCGCCCGGCGCTGCGTGATCTGGGAGGCCGGCGGGCGTTAGGCTTTTCGGGGGAGATGGGGAGCGTGAGGATCCGAGCGCTTCGGGAAATGTCTCTTAGAGTTTCGAGGCTCATCCGTGTTGAGTGATCAATCACGAGGCAGTCACTAGGGTCGCAGCTCTTGGGCTCGGTGGGGGAAGAAAACACCCGTGTGGTTCGCCAACCTCGGTCCCCGATGGTAGTTTCCCGAAGGCCGAGCCTGCGTCCCCGGCTCTCTGGCCGGCTCCAAGCCGCACAACTCTCGGGCTGGCCCCTAACTGGGCTTCTGCTCCCGGAGGACGGAACCCATCCCCGGGGCCCCTCTCCTCGCTGGGGGGAAGGGCCCGCATCTCCAGTCCCCGTCGCTCGCGACGGAAAGGCCAGCCCCCGCCTCCAGCGCACCCCACAGCGCGCCGTCCTGCGGGGCTCGGCTGGGTCCCCGGCCGAGCGTCCGCGGTCCCCGCCCCCCCTCCCCCGGCCGCCGGGAACACCCGGAGGAACGGACCGGCGCCGCGCGGGAAGCCGACCCGGCTCCGCCGCGGACTGGGCATGCTCGGCAGCCCGAGGCTCCAAGTCAGAAGCCTCCTCGCCAGCTCGGCAGCGGCCCGGGCAGCGGCGGCGGGCTGCCGGCTGGACGGGGAGCTGGGCGAGCGGGTTCCGGGCGGGCTGCCGGTCCCGGGAGCCTGGCAGGAGGGCGGGAGAGCGGGGTCGGGTGCGGAGCCCGCACGCCGCCGCGCTGCCCCCGGATCTCGTTCCGCGGCGGGGGGCTCGGCGCGCGGAGAGAATTCCGGCGGCTGCCGCGACCGGCGTGCGAGTGAGTCGCGGGGCGGGGGCGGAGGGAGGGCCGGCCTCCGGGTCGCGAGCGGCTGGGTCTGACCCAGGTCTCGCGGGCACGGCCTGACCTGGGTGGACGGCGGGCGGGCGGGCGGGCAGCCCGGGCGAGGGGGCGTGAGCGCACCCGGCGCGCGGTCGCGCGTACCTGGCGGGCGCCTCCCCCCACCCCGCCGCGGCCGCTCGTGGGGGTGGGCGCGGGGGAGCGCTCTGGCGGCCGCTATCCCGGCTCCGAGGGGGCGGGCCGCCGGCGGGGCTCCCCCGCCAACTTGGGCGGGGAGGAAGGCGGAGGCGTCAGTGGGCACCTTTCCGAGGTGCTGCGTGCACGCTGGAAGACTGCCTGGTGTCACGTTGGGGACGGGCGGACGGTGGCTGGGCCGGGCGGCCCGGAACTGAAGACCATTCAGGTGGCAGCCCAGCCAGAGGTCCCGTAGTGCTTCGGGGTGGACCCCCAAATCGCAGCCCCGCCCCCACAACCTGGGCGTCAGAGTGACAGTTGGTGCCTCCCGGCCTGATCGCAGCGGGCCAGGCGCCCGTGGCTTTGGGATTCCCTTCAGCACGGCCCCTCGATGACCCCTAACGGCCTAACAGGTGGGACCCCCTTCCCGGAGGAGCGAACACCTGCTCCCGAGACGGCGTAACAGCCCCTGGCTTGCGGCTGCCCAGAGACCCCCGCGGGTCCCCGCTGCGTGGGGGTGTTAAAGGGTAAGGCCTGCAGGGGTATCCGTGTAGCTCTGGACTCTGTTCGCCCGGAGAATGAGAGGTCTGTCTGATCGCAGGCGACTTGTCAAGGGCACATCAGCAGTAGCAGTGGCTGCCTCTGCCCAGGTTTTATCCCACACTCCGGCTGTCTTCCTCCGGTGCCCTGGTTCAGCTAACGGATTCTGGTTAACACTTGATCTCTTTTTGGCTGTCAGGAGTAGCAGTTGGGGTGAAGGATGTTGTGGACCTGGGGTGCTGAGAGAATCTGGGCAGGTGCTTCTCGGATGTCTCATTTCACCTTCAGACAGGACGGAGTTCCGCGTTACACACTTATAAAATAGAAGGCTCGTTTCTGACGGGAAGTTTATTTTCTGTGTTCTGAGACCTGCCTTCTGTCCTAGCTTTCCCGAAATCTACCTTCCTTGGTTTGGGGATGTTTCTAGTTGGCTACTGGTTGTGGAAGTGGTGAACGACTGTTTTGGTGTATGGTCAACTCTCCACGCCTTTGGGCACTGGGGAGTGAACATCAGCAGGGGTCGGGGCTGAGGGAACAGAAAGGGGTGAGATTGATTAGGTAGGATCCAGGTGGAAGTCGCCTTGGGCTGGGGAGGTAGCTTGGGTCTGTGAGGCAGGGGAGAGGAGGTCCAGGGGTTTCATTAGCCAGTGTTAGGAGTCCGAGGAAGAAGCCAGCCGGGGTTGGGTGCCAGTGTTGAAGGAAGAAGCCAGCTAGGGTTGGGTGCTTATGTGGTCAGTGTTTTTAGGGAAGCCCAGGGATGTTTGGTGATTCAGCAGGTGGCAGGTTTCCAGCTCTGAAGCCTTGCCTTGGCCAAGCAAGCAGGCAAGCAAGGTGCAGAGCCTGAGCCCGCTGCTGGCGGTGCCTGCATTTGGGGAAGCTCCAGGATCGGCCTTCTTATGTGCACCAAGTCTCTTTCCTTGTCTCGCATCCTGTTTTCTTCGGATGCCCTGGTCCTTTGGGTTTCCTTAATGCTCGTCTTAAACTGTACAACACATTTAAAGTCTGAGTCACAGACCTGCTGGGTAGCCGGAGGTGGCTACTCACTACCGTTCAATTCAGGTAGTTATTCTGCTGAGTGAGAGCTCCCCTTCTGTTTCTGCTTCAGAGATCAGATATTTTTTATTGTTAGTAAAATAGATATTTTTCTGCCTCTTGTCACTGTCATTGAATTACTTCAAATACCAGGTAACTTAAAAAAAAATCTACTAATTCAAGATATTAAACTATTAAAGGCACATGTTTGTTTAAAGTATCTTACTCATCAGAGAACTCTGGGGGTCTTGCATAATGCCTGACCTGTGTGTAGCTCAGTAAATACCTATTCATATTTAAAAACATTTTTCATAACAGAAGAGCACTAATATTTACCGCACTCCTCATCAGGTTTTTACATCTGTAAATGGGATTCTTTCCTATCAACAATTTTAGAATAAAAAATGCACAATGTATGCTGGGTATGTTGGGCACTTAAAGACCTTTGTCTGTTTTCCTAAGATGCAGTTGCCTCTTGTTGACCAAAAACATCAGTTTTATATTAATACTTGTATTTCTGTTTTATAACAATACTTGTTTTGTTCACATTTTCATTTTCGACTTGTGGCAGGTACTTGTTTTAGTTAGTTAGAATAAAGGGCATTCTTTTTGGGCTGGCGCTTAAAAACTCGTATGCTAGATTTAGCTGTTTTTGCTAAAATGTGCTCCTGGCACACATTATATGTTCTTCGATTGATCAAACATCGTTCCCTGCAAAGCATTTCAGGGAAACTGTAGGTTCTCTAACTTTGTCATCCAGTGATAAGTTCTGAGAAAACATGGTGGCCAGTGTCCTGTCTTTGCCTGTTTGGGTTGGTAGCACTTTTTTTTTTTTTTTTTAAAGAACTTTCTTGGTATGCATGGTTGTCAAAAGATTTGGGCTTGTGAGTTCATACTCTTCGTCAAGAATATAAATGCAAGGAAAAAAAAAAGAATATAAATGCTTCTTCGTTGTTTCCCATGCTCCTATGTTCCAAGAACTGGGCTGCAAAGTTTGTCACCTTTATTGGGGTACCCAAACCAAAAAATCAGTTGTTTGGATCAGTTCAGCTTGGTGTGAGGGGCAGGGAATAAATGAAGGGGAAGAAAGGACAGGTCTTGTGGCCCTGAAGATGGCTTGGTTTTGTAGCTGTGGCTGTAACTTTTGGTTTTGGTAAAACCGAGTTGGATGGCTGTTGAACAGGAGTGGTTGTGTTTGCTAGAATGCTTTATCCTCCTCAGAGTCTTACCTCAATATATAGACACACCACACAGATGTAGACATGCGATTGTTGAGGCAGAGAAGGGAGACAGATGCAGGTAGATACATATTCCCTTAGTCAAAAGCCAAGGAGAATCCCAGTTTCTTTTCAAGGGAGAGCTAGACCTCAATGGAATGTTGCATTCTAGAAGTTTAAAGTACCTCATGCACATTTGAGAGAGCATTTCTTCTGCTCTCAGCAGCCAGCTACATAAGGCAGCTATTTTAGGTCAATGCAGGTGAGAGAATTTAGAACTTAGGTTATTTTCCCCCCTGCTTAGACATGGTCAGTTCTTGGCATCAGATCCTCCCACTGTACAAAGGCCCTTCTCCCTTGCTGTTGTCACCGTTCCCCTCCATTCCCTCTGCTACAGGAGGAGTCTTTTCTCTTGCATTGGGTGAGAATGTGTGTGTGGGGGGGGAGGGGATTGGGGTTGTATGGATTTCTTTCTGTTAAAGATGCCGTGTTCCTTGATGTGTTGTCTTCCGTTTGCATAAATGGTGCTGAGGCTATGGGTCCGTGGCAGAGTGCTTACTCAGCATGCTTAGGGTCCTGGGTTCCATCTGGAGCCCTGCAGAAGGAAAGCACTTCAACCTCCCCCAAAACATTTATCTTGGAAACATTCCAACGTTTTATGAGAGTTGACAGAATTTCTGTCAATGTTTTATTAGGTAGTTTGGTGTTAGTATGGACTTGTCCTGTATACTGAGGTGTCTGTAGGGCTGGTCTGATACATGTATTATCGTGTGTGTGTGTGTGTGTGTGTGTGTGTGTGTTTGTGCAGTCATGCATAAACACATTCATACATGTATATTTGTATGTCTGTGAGCTATAGATGTATAACTCATTTCTACCCTGTTACCATAGGGTTACCAAACCTGAATGAAATGCTGACTGCATTACCTTACTGACCTTTGTGAAAGGTTCCTAGGAGTAGTAGTTTTGGAAACATGTTCCCTGCCAGCAGTGTAGACCCTAGACCTCCTGAATCAGAAAGCCTGGAGTTAGAAGCCACTCATCTGTGCTTAAAGTGCCAAGCCTATAGATTGTGATGCAAGGGAAAGTTGGAGAGCCAGTGCTCCAGGAAACTACATCCAGGATGGTGCTCTGGGTGGTCGGGGAGCAGAGTACCAGCACATGTTGAATTATTCCCAGAGCTGCTGAGCTGCTGTGCATGTCCAAGCTGGTTTCAGGGATGATACCCTGCATCCTTATTAGTGTTGGACATTAACCAGCTCTATAATTTGCCAGTGCTTTGTGGCTAACTAATGAGCTCTCATTGTTTTAATATGGATTTATGGGATCTTAGTGAATTGGAGGCGTACCTTGTGTTATTTAGTTGTTATACTGTTTCTTGGGCCAGCTGTCCATTTTATCTACTGTTCCTCTCCTCTTATTCTCGTTTCACCCCCCACATTTGTGTTTCTTTTCCCCCTTTTATTTTGCGAGACAGTTTTCTTAAACCATTGTTTAAACAGTACCTTCTTTCATAGTTTTGGTGAGGCTTTTTTGATTGTATAGCATATTTTCATATACACGAGAGTTTGTCAGTTTATCAAGAGTTGTAATTTATGTTAAGAAATCAATTTAAAACGTGTTCTTTACTATTGACAATTTAGCTATCTTGAAACTGCCACAGTGAAGAGGGTGAACATTTCTGGTACCCCCAAACTTTTTTGGGCCTATTTTGTAGTCAGACCTTCCTGTTGTACCCAGACTTGTATGATCGTGATAGCTCGCATTTCTAGAATTTTATATAAATATCCATGCTGTATGGTACTTTTTTGTGTCTGGTTCCTTTCACTAAACATACTGAATTAAAAACAATATGATACAATACTTTAAAAAAATCTTCTTTTTAACTGTGACACAAGACATAGACTGTAGACCTTCTAGGCAGTCCTTTTTGTGTGATTTAGTAGTGTGATGTTCATGTTGGGACATGGACAAACGTCAGTGTGATTCCTCAGCAGAATGTAGTCACTACCCCAGACCAAACCCTGCTCCCCTTAACCTCAGCCTACTAATTTTGAGATGCCTCCCAGGGCTGGTATGTTGTTCTTAGTTCTGTACCAATCTTCTTCTGTTTCTGTGCCAAACCCTTATTTCTTCATTAGAACTTTGCTCTTCCGTATACATTTTGGAATGCTTCTGAAATTCTCAATAAAGTCTAGGAAATGTGATTGGCATTACTTGGGTTACAGTCTCGTAGAGAGAAGTGACATCATTTCTGTTTTGATACTGCAATTTTTACCATGGTCATTGTCTTCCCATCTTTAAAGAAATAACTTTTAGGTAAAGGTTACAATTTTCTCTATTATGGTAACACTTTTTCCTCATTGTTGGCTCTGGAATTTGAATTCAGTGCCTTATACATGCTAAACACACACTGTCCTACTGGGCTACACTTCCAGCTTATATGGGACCTTTTTAAAAAAAATAAATGTCATATGTTTGGGCAGAGTTTGAGTTTGGATGCTGTATTACACACTTGCTTTTCTGTTGAGACCAAACACCCAAGAGAAACTTAAGAGCAGAGACATAATTGCACTCATGCTCCCTACCCATTTAGTCTGTGGTTGCTGGGCCTCATGGAGGAG